TTTTTCTTAAGGTGTCGCTGGTCTGTTGTGGTTGTGCATCAAACGTTTAAGTTTCCAAAATTAATTATACCCCATATATTGCCCAGGTATTAACAAAATAAGTTTCATACAAATATACTCAGTTGTCCGAAAATTAACGTGTACATACCGATAAACAGACAATATTTTTTAAATTCGTAATTCTATTATTGTTTATTAACCACCCTCAATTTCTTTCTTTTTTTTGTAAATATATTCAATGTACAGACATTATTTTTTTGCAGATTTGTTATAAGTATAAAACGTGTAACAGAAATAACGCACATCCTTATACAACCCAATTAGAAAATGGATTTATAAAATGGATATATAAATAAAATTAAACATTGTTTATGACACAGTTATACTCATTGCTGGGTAACGGTGTGGACATTTTACAAATCAACGCAATGACGTGAAAATTACGGCTTCAGTATTTTTTAAGTTAAGGCAATAATTATGATTCTTATTTGTTATGAAAATCAGCTAGTATAGTCTTGCTATCATATATCCCATAATCCTTAGGCACTTCGATGTATTTATTAACTGTATGTTAGTATATAGGGATTCTTACTTAATAGGGATTCGATGGACAAAACAGTTTTTCTCTATATTTTTAATTACAGCTACAATGTTATGCAAGAATATATTTTTTTATAAATCGAAAACAATTTTCCATGACAAAACCAATCTAAGCAAATGATAAGTTTATCTGTAAAAACTTTAGTGAATTTTCATTTAATAATTGCAGTATTATGATTGTTTCGGAGTTCATAAAAAGAGTGTTTTTGGATGACTTTGCCTTCCCTACAAGCTCTTTATCCTTAATGTACTATTTAAAATATGGATAGACTTTTAAGATATTGTTTTTGAATCAGTTCGCTTTCCAGTATCAAATAAAAAATGTCTGACGGCAACTTTGAAATCATCTATATTTATGGGATTAATAAAATGATTGTGTTTTAATGGTTTTATCCTAACTGGTCAACCAGTCCTATACTTTGATGATGCGTCAGTATTACAAAATATCATTCCACCTCCATAAAAGGATCATAGCTAGAGGAAAAAATAACTTATCTTCAAGTTATGAAAACAGGATATGTTTTATTAACTCCAGTCCAAAGATCAGGTAGAGTCCAATTCTTAAAGCATTAATTATTTTTAAAAGGGCCATGAAATGTTCGACAGCAAGACAATGGTAGAAACAGGCGCGTCTACCCTATATTCTCATAAAAACTATTCTAAAATTGCTTTTTTTCTCCTCCTCCGGAAAGTTCGATATGGATAAGTGTACTTACTACAATGACTTCCAATTAATATTGCATATGGTGAATATTCGTTTACGTAAAGCCGACCTACCAAAAATTCGTACAATTAAAACGTATAATGACTCTTCTTGTGATGAGAATAAGGTATGAAAGTCCATCTCAGTCAAACTCGGCGGGGATTAGGTGCCATGACGTGATATTTGGTTTATTCTGATTGGCCGACATTATCAGGTACACACAGCAGCAAGTCAGGTTACTACAGTCTATCAAATTATCGCAATTATTTTAACTCTACCTTCACTACATTAAGGTTTAAAATCGAGTGAAGAAATGTGATGTGATGTGTGGTATCATAAGTGATTTTATATAGTTATTTCATATTTCTTTAAATTTTAAATCTTTTCATTATTCAATGCAAAGCATTTTTTAAAATATCAATGAATTAGAATAAAATTCTGAAATATGAAACAGACAAAATAATAGCATGTTATTTTGTCGACCCAAAAAGAAAAAACATACTTGTCCTTTCTAAGCCCCATAAAAATCTGGAGTAAAAAGAAATTATTCCTTTCTTTTAAAAAAATTCAGCGCCACCTATTGTGTAAGCACTTTAGACAGCTAACTCAAAGCACTTGATGGTTATAAAACGTCATTGTTATTAGTACAAAGTTTATCTGCTGGCGCTGAACCGATAGGCATTTGTTATTCTTCTGAGGAACGTGCAATGAGCTAACCCACACTAGCGTAGCCACCTGTAATTATGTAAGGGGGCGTGTCGATTTCTAAAAATCATTCAGTGTCCTCAGCCTCTTAGATAGAGTTACGCGGCATAGCTATTTATTATAAAAAATTGTAAAATAATCTTAAGGCACAGTGCGGGTAATGTGTTCTGGTAATTTAATAAATTACCAATCTGTCGCACATTATTTTAATTTCTTTTTTGTCGCTTTTCTAATTTCCTGAGATTTAAATAAGACATGCGCGCACCTCCCCATATGACTCTACTTGGAGCTAGTCATATCCTTTCTGAACTAGTAGAGTAAATCATACACCCAGTTGCATAAACGTCCATTAAAATAGCACCGGTACGTAAAAAAAATGATGTATTTTCTGAGTTTTAATTAACGACCAGTGATAATAATCATTATAAGCAAATGTGTTGAAGGTTTAGTGGGGCGTGGAGTGTGTCCTTCAGCAAGAACATCTCGTCCTTAATAACTATATATAGGACACATTTCCTTTTGAGATATATAATTAATTAGTACCTGTTGATTCAGACTATAACCAGATATAAAAATAATACGTTAAGGTGTTAAAAATACTACAAGCAAGTTATTACAAAATGGTTTAATTGATAGTTTCAAAATTATAGACGGGACTGGTCTTAACTCAAATTATTTTCTAATTATCTTTTAATTATTCGGTAATGTCTTTTTGTTTTGATAAAATATATTTGACAAAATATGAGGTTTGGTTAAAATATCTAGCCACTAGTGTAAGTACACAACCTATCAATAATACAATAATAATTACACGAAACATTGGTATTACTAAGTTAATTACAAAATTTTTAACTTTACACTTTATAAAATAACATTACCAATTCTTATCATAACGAACGTAATAACTTCGGCGCCACATCTGACGATCATTACAAATTATTTTAACTCGAAGTGGTTTTTTACCTTAAATATAAAGATTAATTTACATCCAACTTAAAACTATAGCACAATAAATATTTTACAGAAGTATTTAATTAACACAGGTACTAACAAGTTTTAACACTATAGAAACAACACCATTACAACGAGGGTGCGACCGCCTTACATGGCCTAATTCTATAGCCATGACTCTAGCTACAGAATACGTCGTCTTAGCGATGTTATGGCAATATTTCGTTTAATTTTCCTACTTTGGCTAAAGCTAGGAATTTTTGTAAATTATTCCTAAAATATGCTTACTCATATAACTTGCCGTTATTGTAATTTTGTTAGTATCTTTGATCAAAAGTTGTTGTGAAAAAAAAAAGACAATGTTTTAAAAAATATATGCACTTTCACGAATATTTCGCTTAACGCTTATATTTGTCGATTTACTTCTATTTGATCAGGCTTCGGATTTATATATTAATATATTTAAAAAAATCCGAAGCTTATTATTTAATACCATTATGTCTTCAACGAAGGGCTTATCACAGTTAAGAACAATGTTGGTTCTATAGCATTAGGTACATAATAACCGTATCGTAAAAAATACAGTAGAAATATTAATAATTCTTTATCTTAAAAATTATAAGGAATAAAATGCAAATTAACTTGTAAATCTACTTAAACGACTCACGTTAAAAAAAATATAAAGTCACTTTATATAATTTCTAGGAATAATATTTTATTGCTTACAATATAAAACCATTTGAATTATTACTATGAATATTCAAATGACAAATACCTCTATTATTTGGAGGACAGAAATAAATAATTAATATCAAGTTGGTACACATAAATTATAATTAAAATTGACGTAAGCGCTTGGGTACTCGGACACTAAACTAAGATGCGAGATAGTGGAAATCAATCTGCTAACGAACGCCTCTTCGCAAGAAAATGCGGATTTTAGCCACGCTGTGCAATCCCATGCCTCACGAAATCGCATCGCACCAATTACGAAGGTTTAATCTCTCCAAAAACAAAATTTCGTCTATTTTCGAAACGCTAATATGTCCAAGAATACCCAACTATAGATAATTTCCGGAGGTAGGACGTGACACTGTCTCTGATGCACAGATAATCTTCACGGACATCATTTTACGAGTACCAAAATTATAAAAAGATTCTAAATATTTCGAATTTTCGTTCGTCGACGAACAGAGTGGGCACTTAACCCAGTTTTGTGTATAAGTACTGATTCTATCTTACGTTTATGTGAACACTGGGCTAAAGTTATAACATTAAATCAGTTTGCAGCTAACTCTGAACTTTAACCTTTTTATATCGTATACTAATCACTTCTTAGCCAAGAATTGACATTAATTGGGTTTCGGACCAGAGCTCTCCTTGCCGAATCCTGGATTCTTCCCTCCCTAGTAAAGGTCATAAAAAATTGACACTATTGATTTAACAATAATCTTAATTGTTGTGATAACTTAATGAATTAAACTAATTTTAACGATTCTTATTTCGCGTGTTACAGCAAGTGACTTATATACTTTTTCTAGTTTACTTTAGATTATTCATAAAAAATATTACGTTATAAGTTCGAAATATTTATAAATAAATATGGAGATTTGATAAAACAATATTGGCATCTCCATCAATTTCAGAATAATGGTGAATGGAATAGTGACAAGTAACTCGTCTGTAATAAATGTATTATCGAAGAAAAGGTAGGTTTTCTGGCACCAAAATAATATTAAAGTTAAATATAACGTTAAAAATATTTTGAAACCTTTGCTTGCGATTATATATGTACAACAGAACTAACACTAAAATAAAATTATATATAACACACTACATCTAGTTTAATTATAGCAAATAATTTGTTAAATGTCTTTAAAGTCAATTAAATGATCTAAAGCTACAAACCGTACATACTTATTCATATTAAATTCGAAGATTTTCTCACTAATTTGCACTTGATTGATAATTGTATTTATTTACCGATTACCACAGCACAGTTTGGTAACTATTGAAACACAAACTTTACACTTAACTACCGCTAATGCCCTCTGTCGTCGGCGACTGTGAACGTTCCATTACACGGTGAATTGCTATCGAAGGTAGGCCTGCGGAATAATATAAAGTTATATCAGTTTAGAATAGATGGTGCTGACAGTTACGTTAAAGAATCTCAAATATCTTTTTACTTGAAGTATACACGGTTGCACGTTAATGGAAGATGTATACATCGTGGACTTTGTACCGACTGCGTTTCGTATGGAACTACCATACTAACAGGGATCTGTTAACAGTGGTGGTGTGTAGCGTGTCGTACGGCCGTGTGTACATTATTAAAAATATCTTTAGCAACTCACATTTTAGTGTCAACTTGAGGTGGAGGCGTATTAGTTTTGACAGTATCCGGTAGAAGTAATACTATGGCACCACCTAAAGCACCCAGAGCTGCTATCGTTATCATCGGCAAATGTGTATTGAACATCGTCTGTAAAAAATATAAATATCTACATGAAAAATGCCCGGATTTAATATTCTATACCCGTCAAGGTTTGTTTAGAATTGTTATGGTTTATAGTTTCTTACGCCCATTCTTTTTGAAGTGGCAATATAATAGAATACGTACTTATAATTTCCAATAAAATTAAAAATATATATTACATTTATACACTTACCAGTTTCCATAAGTATGGGATGCCAATAAGCGCCAACCCTGCTGATATTTGACTGGCCCCAACACCGAGATTTCTGATTACTGTTGGGTACAATTCAGCAGTGAAAATGGGCAGCATCATATTAGTCGAACCAATCGCAAACTTTCCAATCATGAGGCATGCAATCATGACCCATTCGTCTTTCACTGAGACAGAGAAAAGTATGCTGGCCACAACCGCTAGACCACAAACAAGCATACTTATGAATATAGGAATACGACGTCCAGCTTTCAGTAAAATAGGTATGCTCATCGCTATCGCTGGTATTTCCACCACGGCTAGTATGATCGAGGTAACGTGTAAATTTCCCAAATTGAAATTGCCTATGTTCAGTAAAAGACCGTAGTACGCAATCGTCATGGCGAACCAAACCATAAATAGGCAAACCGTCCTTTTCAATAGATGACCTCTGAAGAGCATCAACACACTCGGTTCTTCATCTGGTGTTTTAGATTTGTGGAACATTAGAAGCTTATCTAGATCAGCTGGTATTTCTCGTCCGTTGAATTTGGCTGCTTTCTGTAGAATCTCTTTTGCTTCTTGTGTTCTTCCCATACTCAATAGCCATCTAGGTGATTCAGGTAGTACAAACCTAAAAACAGAAAATCGATATTCAGATTTTTCGGGTACCCCTACCCAATTAATATATTAAGACATAACATGTTTACGCATAACAGCTTCGGTACTTATAATGTTACTAAAGCATAAATATATGTTAAAATCAAAGTTCATGTCTAGTAATATACAAATAAATTTTGCATAAAATAACCTAAGAGATAACTATGCCAGCATAATTGTATGCTAAAACACATATGTCAAAAAACGTATGCTAAAGTGTATCAGAATACAAAACTTTATAAGTTTACACCAATATTTGTATAAAATTATTCTTACCACAGCAGAAGTAATAGGCATCCGGGTAGTGACAACGTCAGCTGCAAATCTCTCCAGTTAGGCAAGACCAAAGACAATAATGATACGATGATGTACGCGAACGGGAGTGGGAAGAAATTGCAGACGCCAGCTATTGTCACCCATTTCCCACCAACCAACTCTACTGACAGCACGAAGGCTGCATACACGACGGACACTGACACCAAGCCCATGATGAGACGCACAATAACGTATTGCAGGTAGGATCGTACGAGCAATGAAAGGATTGCTAGTGTGCTTTGAGTTACCAACATCCCCATGAGAATACGTTTGCGACCGAACCTGGAAATGAAAAAAAATGTAACAGTTAATGAATAATTAATGCTACTTCCGTAAAAATATATTCTAATGAACCATATTTAATGAAATTTGGTACACAAATAGTAACACAAGCTTAGTACACTATACTGTATTATAGAAATCTGGAAACAGATTATTTGTTTTATTACATTTATTTACGGAACCAAATTAGGGTTTTCTCGATTAAAATATCTTGAAAATAGCAGTTCACCACGGAGGTCGTTAAAATGAAAAATATATCTAATAATATAACAGTTGCACCAATATTCTACTGACTTTGTAACGAATAAAAAAATCGATAATAAATAATGAAGTGGGACATACCTTTTTTATAATTAATTAAAGTTAGAACAAGGTGGGTTTTTAAGCATTATTCATTTCATTAATATTTGAACTACGGCGGGTTTTATCAGGTAGGCCAGCCACGGAGAGCCCTGATTTGAGGGTTAAGGTTGCATTTCCTCCGTGCTATTAAAAAAGGTAGATTACGGATGTTTCAACGTAATTATTTGTTTACGCAAATCTATGCGTACTTCAAATATCAGATATGATTTAAATATAGAGTACTACTCTTTACTGGACTACATTGCCAAGTTGGATCTAATAATTAACACGACTTTGTCATCCTGCGAACGCTTTTGTTGAATACCGGAATATACGTATATGTCAAACAATATGGTACACTAACATCATTAGTTCATTACATACACGTATTCTTAGTATAAGTAAAAAAAATGTTCATTGTTCAAGTTTGTTTATTTTGGCATCGCTTAGATAGGTACCCGTTTCGTCTAACCTAATGCAAAAATATACTTATATATATCACAAAATTTCGATCATTCAGACATCGTCACGTATATAAAACACATTTAATATATACTCCCCTGTATATTCTCATTGACCGACTGAGTTGATATATTATTTCCTACGAGAGATATGTATGATATGTACTGATAAATATTTAGTTTAATATGTTTTTGATTGGTACATAAATTTCATATGGCAACATATTAGAATTAAAAACATTGATACAGTACCGAGTTTAGCTACTGTGGATATAGGTACTATGATGCATAACTTACTTGTCTGAGATCCATCCTCCTAACACGCCTCCAGCGCCTACACCGACCAGAAAAACAACTTCTGCAAGGCTTGTTAGGCTCGCGCGGTCGCACACTAAATTCCACTCCGAGATGATAGTTTCTCCGACTTCTGATCTATCATAGTCCCATGCTGTGCATTCCACGAAGGAGTCTAATAATGGGGCTGTATGGTTCAAGATACTCTCCACTGTCACTCCTGGTGGTATTACTCGTACACTGCAAGCGTCCACTGGTTGGCTGTAGTTGATCCATTCCTTTAACGGCAAACTTGAAAAGTTCTCTGGCATCCGACACCAAAAGTTTGTAGCTCTAGCCTGAAAATAGAAAAACGCTTATTGAATCTGTGAATAGTTTGCAAGTGAAGCTCTCCTCTTTTGCATCGAGTAACAAGTGCAAGAAATAAACTGCATTAGAAATAAATAACCTTGACCGTTAGTGGATCTGAAACGAGGTAAGCAGGGCTATAAACTTTCCTTTCTTAACTTAAAGCATAATTGTGCATGTTGGGAAGGGAAGTAATAAAAGTACATGGTTTTATACATAAAATAACGCAAAAACGGATATTGTTCTTAATTGAAAAAAGACTGCATTCTCTACATTGTTATGGATACTCACCGTAAAAGTCGGCAGATATATGTGGAATGTGCAAGGAAATGAGAACAGCGACAGTAGAAATGTGATGAGCAGCTGCCAACGGCCATAGTTGCCTATCACAGAGGAAACTGCATCTGGTTCCTCTTCCGGAGTCGCCGCTCGAGATTTCTCCCTGCTCGACAACTGACTCGGTATAACTGGAAAATATAATGCACATTAAATATCATAATTCTTTGGTCCTCACCAGCTGGAGATTTGGAATAAAAATATTTGGATAAACATAATTATTTAATTATGGAATAAAACTAATTATTTAATAGAAATATGCATGTTAATTATTTAGTTATTTCCCCGGAAATATATTATGCTGCATCTGAACACACCCACCAATTCGCACAGGACCCTGACAAACGTGGCACAGACGTGGTGGATCATGGCCCATTATACCTATTCGATTCCATCCATAACGAAAGCCTATGCTCCAGGAGTGGGAATTTAATAGATGGTGATGATATTATGCTTCAATATTTCTGTTTATTTCCTATTAACATGCGCATTTAATTACTTTTTTATCTCATCAAATAGCTTCTCGCCCAGTTAGGAGATGTCAGGTCAACTTTATTAAGTAATATAAGATAAATGATTAATTCGTTTCAAATAAAACAATATAATTTTTGCTTTTTATACCAAAGAGATTATATGTCCTTTAGTACAAATATTCAAATTGCTTTCTTCTGAGTTAACAATTAAATACAAATGCAGGATATAAGTTTGATTCTTCATTATCTCATTATACTGTGAAGCGTTAAATGAGAACCGCGTGGGTCCGATGGTCTTGGAGATTTTTGTCCTTTGACTTTGTCCAGCAGCACTTGACAATCTTTACATTATCAAAGTACTATTATATTTGGAATCAATCCAGTTTTAAGATCGTTAAAGTATTTTATTTCTTCAGAATCATTACTAAAAACAGGTTGCATCAAACGACAAAAGACGATAGTAAAATATAAGATGTTAATGATCATGAAAACTTAAAAGAGCATAATTTCATTATCGACAAGTAAAAAATAATTTGATCGATATCGAATTCATATGGATATAAATTACCATGTTTTCTCAGTTAGTAATGGAAATGTAATACTTACAAGGAAACAATTCAGGCAAAACAGTTCCGTAATATTTTGACAATGGTATTACATTAATAATAATGTAATTTAAGATGAGAATATGTATATTGAAATTCAATAGCGACTTTATCTCCAAAGGTCTTCATGTGCAGTGACCACGAATAACTTACAATGTTTTTCAAAGCGATACAATAATTTGATTGACCAATATCTAGCTCAAATTTCATATGATACCTAAAACTTAGATTCTAGTCTACACTAAAACTTATTATTTATAAGCAGCGATTTATAAGTGAACGAAGCGTAATGAATTTAGAAAGAAAAGACTTCGCGGCCGTGAAGAAAAAATACTTAGTGCGTTATTAATAAACTGTCTGTAATCAAGGAATCGATAAAAGGGTATAACATCAAATTAAATTTACAAACGCTAAAAATCATGGAGAAATCACATTGCTTACCAAGAAACCATTTGAATTCATTAATGTTTGTTAAACAAGCATACGCGTGTTGCACGTGCGTTACTTTTAGGGTTACCTATTTAAAATTTCTTTGACCGCAGCTTTAAAAAATAGTTTTTCAAATAAATGTGCCATATTTAAATTCCTCATTAATATTTGTGCTACAATTCATAGTACATTATACATTAGCTGGTTTTCTTCCACGTATGTCATCCGCAAATGATGTAGTGTCGCGTAAGTGAAAGAACTCTTCAGTAGATTCGGCGCCTTTTTTTGCGAATAATGAAACAAACAATCGGAACTTTCTTCTTTATAATATTAGTAAAAACTACTGACACAATTCTTAGCAATTCCATAAACTACTTGAATATAAGTTTAAAGCTGTATATTGCGAATCAATGAAAAAGTTTTGTCCTAAATGAAAGTAATATCCTAAGAAAAGTAACAGCCCTATCACTATTCCCATATGATGGCTCTTACGCTCGTGCAATGTTCATTAACGAATAGCATGTAATAGTACCGACAGGCGACGGGCGTGGCGCCTTGACAATGATCCTCATTGCAGCGATAATGACCTACAGATAAAATGCTGTCATAACTTGACACGTGGACTTACGTGAGAAAAGTAGTTTTGTTTAAAAAAATTGTAAACAAATTTGTATCGTACTCGCTCACGGATTGTTCTGTTATCCATAAAGACTGGTGACCGACAGCGGAGTCTCAGTGATAGATTCCCGTAAAAATAAGTTTTTAGAGATCCATAAACATAATCAGTTCTTGATTAATTTTATTATTTTAAATACCTATACTCAGTTGATACAAGTAGATAAAGTTGTAGAGACCGATTTTCGCGCATTGATGCGCTGGATGCACAATTACCTATAGCTACCAGTTGAATCATTATGAAAATTATAACAACGAGTTCAAGGCAGATGTCTATATATCTGTACTGCACGCAGCTAAAACTTTAAATCTTTGCATTAAAAACAGTGATAAAAAGTATGGAAATGACAAGATGAATGGATACAATGTTTACTTTACCTAGGTCAGGGATGCAAGCGCATGAATTCAACAATAACATGTGAAATTTGAATCGTCAGATAAATAAGTAATGATGTCAACAATTATAATATTCGCTACTTTATTGAGGATTTACTTTTGATTTATTGTTATTGATAAACAATAGAAATAATATATAAGTAACAGCATGTCTGCAATTAATAGATTCGGAGTTTGTTGAACTGCTGCTAGTGGGTCGAAAACGCTCCCTAAAAATTCAAGCCACTAAGTGGCGTCACACAGTGCTTCGGTAACGAAAAATGTATGATATCTTAGTTATTTGTACGTTTATATTTATTTATATTGAAAGTTTTATGTAATTAATTTAATGCCATTTGTATTTTATCTTTTTGTAGTATATTTCCCCTACTTTTTTCAAGTTATCAAAACGAAATATTTTGTAACATACAATTTATTTCATTGAATAAAATAGTTCATATTTTTTGAATATATAACTGAAACTTGTATTTTCACTTGTAGGACATAAGCTTCACTTTTTTATGTGTATTGTGTTAGGAGATCGGGCTTTTAAACGATGACCTATTGATTCTTATTAAATTTTTAATACTTGATGCTTTATAAGAATCCATAAAAAAATTACTCCATTATAGAGATAAATTATCAACTATAATAGTTTTATTCATGTTTGCACAGCGTCAACAAATGTGAGTAAATAAGATTTCCCAAGAAAAAAAAACTTTCGTTTTAGATTATTGGATGATTTTCGCTTTATATCGTGAAGATTATGCGTTTATAAGTAGTTTGGTCTAAATCATTGTGAAAGTGTATATTATACAATTTAGGTACTAGTTTTTATTGGTAATCTCAACTTTTACAACTATACTCAGTTTATATTACAACTAATTGGAATAAACTTTTGCAGTATAGGTGGCAGATGTAAAACAAACAAAAAAACATTTAATTAAATAAACATTTATTTTCCGAATTAAGGTCCAAAGGTAACCTCGTTTGAGTCCTAATAACATTACAAACAAACAAGCAGCTAGGTGTCATCAGGCGAGACATTATTCTTCATCTGGCTAGTGGGCAGCGTGGTGCATTTGGGGCCAAGGCCGGGGGGCATATCGATTACAGTGATCGCGATTTGCATGGTCGGTTGCATTGCATAAACCTATGGGTTGTAAACTAGAACCGTTAGAAAATTGAAAGATTATATAAAAGTAACAAATCTAACAATTTTGCAACGAGTTATATGTGAAGAATTAAAACTTTTCTTGTCAGACCTACGACTTACGGCACACTCGGACACTACTTTATAAAATGTAGGACGAAGCCTTACATTCTTCATTATTATAAACAATTAGCCGTTTTCCTTATCTTCGTCCGTGTAAAATATATAGCCTATGTCACCCACGTATGATCCTTTCCGTAGATGAAAGAAGATTTTCGAAGATTACCACATACCAGCAAATAAGTTAGAAACTTTACCCCTTTATTATATGAATAGAGATGAGAATTATAATAAGTACGCGTTTGACTTCAAGAGGTAAAACAACGAAACTTATTCAGTCTTTACATTCCAAATGGTTACTTTTACTAGAACAAGGTATTCAAGGTACGTTCCGTATAATTAATAAATTTGATATTCATCCTAATATTTAAATAAAACTTGCTACCGTTTTTAATACGAGTTTGTATGTAATGTCTATTTTATTGATTGAAAAAAATAATGCAAAATTGTATTGTAAAGGAAGAAATCTGATTCGAGTGACTCATAAATTGTTCTGCTAACAGCATGCACAATATCTATATAATTAGAGCATTACTTTAGCGACACGAAATAATTACGAACAATTAAAGTAAGCACTAAGAATTGAGACATATAGTTCTTTGTGTGAACGAGCAAAAGTATAAATAGCTATGTGGAAATATAAAAAAATCATATTTGAAAAAACAAGGACTTGTATTATTCCAGAACCATATAACACTTATGTTAAAATATGTACCGTGTTTTTATGATTCGTCTGTCGCAGATATAATCTTTGATTCTAAATTAAGCATACGAAGTCACGCTTAGTTGAGTGAATACTATAGATTCGAAACTTATGTTATAACTATTTTTAACTAGAGTATAAATCACGAAACATAAGCAGTTAAAATAGGTTATTAAAATTATTGATGTTATTATACAAAAAAAATGTATTAAACCTAGTAAACTATTGGAGCCATTAGTTACTTACACAGTAAACCAGTACACTGTAAACTTTTGCAATATCTTGAACGGAAAATATAACATTATTACAGGCATTATAGACAAATTGAGTAATCTCAGCATTTGACAGTGACCCACTTTCTATAATTCAAGTTTTTTCTTAATGTTCAGTGCCATAATTACACAACTTACACTGTAAATATTCTATGTTTACAAGTTAATAGTACAACAATGTACCTACCTATGCAAAAAAGGTGGCTGTTGAAGTTGAAGTAATCAATCGCTTCTGGTAATGAGTGGCTTACAAACTGTTTACTTAATTGAATGCAGCCGTTAGAAAAAAACAATTAGTTTAGGTACATCTGAATCGCTTGATGGGC